ATAAAAAAAAAATATACAGTGGAGTCTTCCTTTTCACAGTTTTATGAATCCGTTACAAAAAAAATATTTCAAAATCCTGACTTAATATTTAGTTCCACAGCACTTTGAAGACGCCATGGATTATAATTTTTAGAAAATTTTTGTCTTCATTGAGAAATTTACAGTAACAAAATTGATTTAAGTATTTTTATTTTTTTTAATTCTTTTCTTCTTTAGTTTCAACTTATTTCTACTGGAGATGAAATTAAGGTAAAAAACAACTAAATTCAGGCAAATAGATTCTAGTACAATAGATGGCATTGTAGAATTTGTACACTCTCAGTACAGCTGAATTCTTACGTCACAAGTGTTAACTCAGTTTTTGTATCCGACAAAATTATCAAAAGTAGTGATAATCTTGGAATTAAGTGCTTATTTTACAATAAAATAACTGCAACTTTATGTGTTCTTTATTTTCTGTTTTTACGCTTTTTTATTTAATCTTTGAAAACATGTCAACTAATTTGAGAACATTTCGGTTTCCTTGTTATATTTGACACTTGTGACGTTGTGTATAATTGGTTCATTTCTCTGTTGCCACCTATTGTACTTGATAATCTATTTGAATTCAGAAGTAAAATAAATTCCATCCAATACAATTCCAAAAAAGTCATCATGATGCTAAATATATCGGAATTGTTGCAAAAATTCCATATTGCAGAATCAGGCGTATTATCACGTATACAGGGGGAGGGTTTAGGGTAACATTTAAGCCTGAAACGGAGTGTTTCAAACAAGATGTATTTTGCCAATTTCCTTTCCTGTCTCTAAAATGCATACATCCGCTAGTCAAATTCAAAAAGTTTTCTTATCTGAAACTGATTGTTGCCAGGTTGAAAAAAATGGTTATTTACATCATTTTTGGTCAGACTATAGCTTTAACATGGCTATCGTTTTTGATCGGGCATTTAACTCTTTAAATATGTAATTATACTTGAAATTAAGTTAACGATCCCTTTAAATATAGAATTATACTTGAAATTAAGTTAACGATCCCTTTAAAAATAGAATTACTTGAAATTAAGTTAACGATCCCTTTAAATATAGAATTATACTTGAAATTAAGTTTATGATCCCTTTAAATATAGAATTATACTTGAAATTAAGTTAACTATCCCTTTAAATATAGAATTATACTTGAAATTAAGTTAACTATCCCTTTAAATAATTCCTCTGTTGTGTTAATAGCTAAGTGGTCGTCTGTATAGAGATAGACAAGGACTAATGTCAAGAAAAGTTAATCTGAATATTTCAGGTAATATTTGCTTTTTTAATGGGAATTTAGAATAGAAAAATTAACGAAAGTTTAAAATTACTGCGATTGTTTATGAACACATATATAAAGTTGTAATCTCTGTTTGTTTGTCTGTATGTCTGGTTGTTTGTCTGTCAGATCATAACTCAGGAACCCCTGGACCGATTTGCCTCAAATTTTGATTATGGAACTTGAGAAAACCTCGGAAATGTTTTTTAGTTTGGGTTTGAGATTCTAAGAAAAAATAGCTAAAACCGTAATTTCTGACTGCCTTGGGTTCCCCTAGCTAGAATATATATATATATAAAGTAGTAATCTCTGTTGGTTTGTATGTCCGATCGTAACTGGTGAACCGATTTGCCTCAATTTTTGATCCAGGGAACTTGGCAGATCCAAGGAAATGTTTTCAGGGGCATATTCAGGAATTTGTCCAAGGGGGGGGGGCTTAACAATTTTTTCTTTACAGGGGGGGGCTCCGTACCCCCATTAAATCTATAGATTTCACTGGTCCAGGGGGCTGAACCCCCATAGCCCCACCCCTGAATACGCCTCTGAATGTTTAATGTAAAAATTAACGAAATTTTATTGTTAAAGGGATTGTTTACGCAATACAAATAAAGTAGTAATCCCTGTTTGTTTTCTTTGGGTGTTTGTTTGTATATATCCGATCCTATAGGCCTACAATTCAGAAAACCCTTGAACGATTTTAATTAGGGAACTTGGTCAAACCACGGGAATGTTCTTAACTTTGATTAAAAAATCATAAGTTGAGTGGGTTGACTTTTTTATACATATGAAAACTTTCCCATGATAAACAAAGTAGTATAATATATTATCTGTATATGTTCGATCATAACTCAGGAACCCCTTGAACGATTTTGGGGAACTTGTTCGAACCACGGGAATGTTCTTAACTTTCTATACTTGTATCTTTATATGCAAAGCAGTAATATATTCTCTGTTTGTTTGTGTTTTTCGATCATAACTCAGAAACCCCTTGAAAATAACATTAAGTGCAGTAAAAACAAGAAAAAGCAATAAAAGGCAGTAAAAAATAATAAAAAGTAGTATAAAGCAGAAAAAAGTAATAAAAAGCAGTAAAAGGCAAAAAAAGCAATAAAAAGCAGCAAAAACCAAGGAGGAAAAAACAATAAAAAGCAGTTAATAGAAAAAATATTTTAAAATATTTTAGTTGGATGTTGACTCTACCAAAAATGAAGGTAATCTGTTTTTTTAAAATGTTGAATATGAAAAATTCTTTTCGTAAATTTATATGCCCTTGTACAGTTAGAGACAAAACATTTAAAAATAACAAACAAATTGATCAAAATTGTGAAGAGAACGTTAGGAATAATTATTTACAACTACCTGACAGGGAAGTTAAGAGAATTTTATTTTATCGCTGCGCTCTGGATGTTTTGTAGTCAAAATTGTAGGCAAAATTTGTTATTTCCCTGAAAAGTAGTTGTACACAATTTTATCGTCTTTTGAGATGAAAATGCGCGAATTTTTTTCCGAAAACTTCGCATAGTTATTTTACATACAGGGTTACCCAAAAAGGATGAGACTGTTAAAGACGACTCAAAACTCTAAAAATATGAGAACTTACGCTTTACTTTTGGTTTTTGCATTTAATTGAGTATTTTGATGGTTTGCTAAATGATTAAGCACAGAAATAAGCCAATTGTTGCCTTCCAGAACCCTGAATGCAGGAACATGAAAGTCAAAAGACGGTTTAATACAGTTTGACCCAAAACTTCGGAGAATTCATCAAACGAAGTTATAAAATGTCGTCTTCTAAATCTACTGAGTACTTATAATGGAATACTGCAGATTATTTCGTTTTATAATTTTATAATTTAATTGAGCTCTTTAAACTGTTCCCGCCTATTTCTTGGCAATCTATTTATTTTTACAATTACTGAACTTTAAGTCATGACGATATTTTATAAATTCTTTCAATGGCTCCGTAATATTACGAACCAAATGCTATAGCTCAAGTTATTCTTTTATTTTTAGGCTTGTTCTACAGAGCCTGGTCTTTACTACAAACTAGGAACTTATTAATGAATTAATAATTTGTGTTTTTAATTATTATTAGTTGATAATTTGATAATTTACTTGTTGATAATTTGAATAATTGAAGTACAGACACTTTATGTCCTTGGATGTTTATTCTCAAGAAGATCTGGATTTATACAAAGCAATTTCAGCAGAACAGGTAGGATTCTGCGCCCTAGGTGATTTTATGATTGATATTGTTTACTTGATTGACAGACTGGTCAATTCATTAGCTAGTTGATTAGACGGACTGATTGATTGAAAATGACTAATTGATCAAAAGTTTTATGAATAGATTGATTGACTGACTCATTCATTAATTGATTGATTCCTTGAATAGTTGATTGAATGATTGATTGATTGATTGATATACTGATTAACTGATCAACAGAATAATTTATTTAACACTTGGTTTGGTGATTGATTGATTAATTGAATAATAAGTTGGATAATTGATTAATTGATAAAAAGATTAAATTTGATTGGTTGATTGATTAAAAACTAGGGGTTTCTGACCCAAGTATCTCTTCTCTCTGCTATGGACGATGACGGTGTTACACAAGGGTTTAAGGTGAAATTGAATTAATTAGGATTTGTCCAATTACTTCTTTGAAGTTTGGTAATCCAATAGAGATAAGTAGTTTATATCTCCCCCACCACCCCACCGCTTGCCCCCGTTTGTGCATTTTAATTAATATTCCACCGTAGAGGTGACTGAGTCCGTAGAAAGCTGAAAGAAAACAGGATTCTGCTTGCTCTCTTTTACAGGGATACAAGGAGATACTAGCGCCTCTAGCGTGAAAAATAATTTTAAAATCTGCATGTACTTAAGTACACACTCTATTACTTATAACTCTCTTGGTAATCCACGTCAAAAAGTACAAAGCATAGGTGAACAGCCAAAGCTCTGTAAAGTCGGCTGGTCTTGCTAGTTGGTGAAAAGTTGTCGTCACTTTGTTGATTGCTATGTTTCTCAAAAAGTTATTAATAAAGATTTTATAATTGATTTGATAAAATTGCAGGATTTTGTTCATATTTTCTGCGGTCCTTTAGTTTCTTCTTTTTTTATTTAGTTTCCTTCAGATGAAAATTGTTTAAATGGGGACTGGAATTGTAATTTCAAGATGCAAAGATTGCAATACCTGATTCACAACGGAACCCTTGAAATCTTTACCCGATTACTAATGTGGAAATTGTTGCTGTTTTTAAAGGTCATAAAACTGTTTAATTGGGAAAATTCCAGCTTGCTTTCATGCAGTAGAAATGCGCAATTTAATTTATATAGAGAAACCACAGTTAAAAACGTAATTAGTTTTCTAAATTTTAAATATTGATATCTAATTCAAATTGGATCAGAAAAAGCTTTTAAGGGTAACGTAAGTAATCGGGCATCGTCATCTTTGCAAAGAGAGTCACTAAAACTTACGCTCACAGTCCCTTTAGGCAAAAAAGGATTAAATATTTCATATAATTTGAAGTGGACTTCAAAACATAAAATTCTTACTTAAATGATTCATTTTTATAAAAAAAAAATATACAGGGTTACCCACAAAGGATGAAACTTTACAGAGAACTTAACAGAATCCATAATTTGTTTGAATTTCTTTATATTCAGCTAGCTTGGGAACAGGGCTGCCCAGGTTACTAAAAGTTACTCCCGCCGTTTACCCGCACTCGATCAAGTTTACCGGGAAGCTAAATTTTCGCGCTATTAAAGTCGACCCACTCAATTTAGAATTTAAAAACCATGCTAAGAACATTCTCGTTGGTCTCGCGAGTTCCCCAACCAAAATGTGAGGCAAATCAGTCCAGGTTCCTGAGTTATGATCGGACAAACAAACAGACAGACAGTCAAACAGAGTTTACAATAGATGCAGAATTCTTAATAACCCTGTAATCGCCATATTTTAATAAATTCAGGTCGTCTTTACAGTCTCATCCTTTGCTGGGTAACCCTGTATAAAAATTGGTATTAGATTAAAATACCGAATCAGACATCAATGTTTAAATTGAATATTTGTTGTTGCAGTTTGAAGACATCGTTCAACAGGTTGACAACAATACTCCTGAATGCATAAGGTAGAGTATTAAATAAGTTGAGTTTCTAAATTTTGATAAAAGCCTCTGAAAAAAAAGGAAACGGACAATAGCAAACAGTCGTCTACAATCGTCTACAGTCGTCTACAGTCGTCTACAGTCGTCTTCAGTCGTCTACAGTCGTCTACAGTCGTCTTCAGTCGTCTACAGTCGTCTACAGTCGTCTACAGTCGTCTTCAGTCGTCTTCAGTCGTCTACAGTTGTCTACAGTTGTCTACAGTCGTCTACAGTCGACAGTCGTCTACAGTCGTTGTCGTATATATCAATTCAATGAAGACGACTTTCGATTACAATTTTTGATCTCTAGTAAGCTTTCAAACAGCATAGATAGGATACACATAAACATGGAATCAAAGAGAAGCTTCCCTTTGTTTACTTGAAAAAAGCTTGTTATAAATCAAAACTAAAACAAAAAGTCGTCTTCATTGTATTGGTATAAACGCCAGCTATTGTATTACTAAATTATGATCAAATTCGGCAAACTTCTAAATATTTTATAATTTACTTTTTCCGCAGATCTAGCCAGGCCTTCAAGAGGAGAAGAGAACTGCAAAAGAACAAAAAATGTCAAATATTCCTTAAAATGAATCAGGTAAATAAGGTAAATAAGGTAAATAAGGTAAATAAGGTAAATAAGGTAAAACAACAGTATTTTGTTACGTGTCTGTACAATGAGAACTAGAAAATTGTGGAATAGGTAAACGACTTTAAACTCAAGTTATGACTTTAAATAGTCCAATGAACATGAGGCATGAGTTGTGCAGTGTAAACAGACCCATTTAACTGAATGAGTGATCTAAGTAAGACTATTAGCTTTGTAACAAGATTAATTACACAAAATTATTGCTTTAATGTCGTCTTACTATTCCTCAGTTTTCTGGTTCTCTCTAAAAACTAAATACTTGATTTTTCTCTGAATGATTCAAAATTCTAACAATTTTGAAGAAAAAAAAACTTTATTAATTTATTAATTGAACCCTTCACAACAAAAGTTAAACCTGTTATTTCCATCCAGGCGCAGTTGATCAGCTTGGAAAAGTCAACCCCGCTAATCCAGTTTGAATCTTCTCTCCAATCCCCTCCTAATCCCTTCACTGAACCATCTAGATCCTCCCCAGACTCATCCTTTAATAGTGCTCTTCATTCAGCCAATCCTGGAGATTTCAACGATACACCTAAACCGGGGTTCTCCACGAAGCAAAGACAAGATACTCCGTTCTCATGGATTGATAACAGTCTGCCACTTTCCACGGGAAAGGTTAATCTTAAGAACGCATTCAGAAAGTCGCTCCGAAAGAGTTTAAGAAAGTCCAAGTCAGCCAAGGCAGCAATTCGCAAGCGTTCAATATACATGGTTGAGGTTGATGATAAAGCTTCTGAAGGAACTGATGGAACTGAAAATGAGAAGGTTCAAGTCCAAGCTAAGATTCAGGTTAAATTTTTGGAACAATTTCTATCATTCCTATTTGTTCCCTTTCAAAGTTTGAGGACATTTCGACTCATCAAAACAATTTTGTTGTTGTTGCTTTTTGTTGTTGTTGTTGTTGCTGATGTTGTTATTGTTTTTGTTGTTGTTGTTGTTGTTGTTGTGTTCTTGTTGTTGTTGTTGTTCTTGTTGTTGTTGTTCTTGTTGTTAATGAGATTGTAATGTTTAGGGAGATTGTTGTTGGATTCTATTCTCATCAACCTACTTCCAGGGCAGACGGTAAATTACAGATATACAGTGGAACTCATAAAACTGTGAAATAGGAAGACTTAAAGGGACTGTAAGCGTAATTTTAAGCGATCCTCCGTGCAAAGATGGCAATGCCCGATTAACAACGGTACCCTTAAAAGCTTTGCCTAATCAAGTGTGAAGTAGATATCAATGTTTATAATTTTCAAAACAAATCTTTTTCGATTAGGGTTTCTCTAAAAAAGTTACTTGCACATTTCTACTGCAGGAAAACATATGGTAATTATCGGAATTAAACACTTTTGAACTTCGAGAGACAACACTATCTTCCCCTTAATCAAATAAAAGGTGTCGAAGGTACTGTTGTAAATCGGACATTGTCATTTTTCCATTAAGGTTCACTTGAAATTACGCCCTTAATGATATGATTTTAAAAACAGGGTTAGTCACAAATAATGAAATTCAGAGACGACCGAATAGAGTTTATTTAGTCTTGTTTTCTTCAAATTAGAGATGGGCGCGTTCGTTTTTTTTCTAATTCGTTCATTTGTCGTTTGTTCAGTAAAAACACGATCGTTTTTTCAAAATTTTTTTTTAACTAACCATTTAGAAATCGTATATTTACATTCTGACTAATCCATAAAATGGAAACAGTCGTTAACGATTTTAAATGGTTAATTTTTGTATTTTTTGTTCGTTTTTCAAAAACGATTGTTTTAAAGATTTCGTTAAACGACCCAACTTGTTCATTCATCATTCGTTAATTTTTCTAAACGACCCATCATCATTTACGAAAAATTTGATTTGTTTTAAAAAAAATTGGTTCGTTCACAACAATAATGCCCATCTCTACAGCTCAAATCATTACACTGGGAAAAAAACGCAATATCGCATTTAACGGAAAAATTACAGTTAGTTGTATCGCACACTCTCTGCGACGTCCCCTGGTTGCTTCCGTTGATATATCGCAAAACGTGCTCGTTGATGGAAACAACATTTATCATAAAGGCAGCAGCTATTATTTTATAGCACAGACTGTGCGATATATCTAACTATTATTTTTTTCTTTGAATGTTGTAGGTGTATGTATTGGAGCAATAGCGATTTTTTTGCGGTATATATTTAAAGAGTTGTAGCTGTTGTCTTTAGAGTCGCAACCTGTAGTCCAATAAACATGAAACACAGCAAATTACATTGTAAAAAGACCCATTTTACTTATAAATGGATTTTTAAGCTACTGTTAGAACTGTTTGCTTAACAAAAGCAAATACATATAAGATTGATTAAATGTCGTCTATCTCTTCCGTAGTAACATCATCAGTCCGCACTCCAGTCCGACACCGTATAAAAATAACAACATTTTCGTTTTTTTTTCAATTGTGAAAAAGAAAGGCGAAATCCTAACTTAGCCATACACTTCAATTTGACGGCTTTTTACTCTGTATTTAAGAGAAATGTCCAATGAGTTCTCTATCCTCAATGATCAGTCAACAATGTCAAGAGTACAGTTGTGAATCAGGGATGTCACTTGAAATTTCACAAACTATTACAATCCCTTTAATGAGATCAATTAAACTTTTTATAAAGGGATTGTAATCGTAATTTCAAGTGACCCTACATTCAAAGATTCAAAGGTCCGATTTACAACGGTACCCTTGAAACCTTAATCGGGTCAAAAATGTGGAAGAAACCATCGTTTTTCTGAATCGAAAAGTGAGTTACTCCGTTGATTCTTCTAACCAAAAAATGCGCAATTGTCACTTTCGCAGAGAAACTGCAAATAAAAATAGACAACTTAAATAAACAAAAACATGAATATCTAATTCATAAATTATCAGAAAAAGGTTTCAAGGGTATCGGTGTAAATCAGGCAGTGCCATCTTTGCTTCAAGGGCAACTTAAAATTCAAAGTTTTTTCTACGCTAAAATATATTTTTTTTTTAATGTTTCTAATATTTTTGTTTCAGAGAGACGGTATGTGGCGGTGAGCGTACAATTTCCATCCCTGCAGTTAACTCTGTGAAAAAAGTTTAGAAAACGACGACATTTCAAGTTTCCTGTAAAACACGAACATTTTTTTGGTGATCTCTTGTTCTTCCAAACTCAAGTGATTTTATTTCATTTTATTTTTTCAAACTAGAATATTTTTTTTGCTGAAAAAAAGCAAATTTGTATTTGGATATTCAAGTGATATTTTTGATATTTTTTTTTGTTAAAAAAAGCAATTTTGTTTTTGTATATTTAAGTGATATTTTGGATATTTTTTTTGCTAAAAAGCAAATTTGGTTCAAGAATCAACATTTATTTTTTTAAATATTTATTTGTCTCAGTTATTTAAAGTATTAAATGTACAAAATAGTTTCTGTTCAAGTTGTTCAAAAGAAATCTGTTTATTTTTACCATATTTATATTTTATTTTAAAAAGTACAAAATATAGGAATTTAAGATTTAAATCTTGTTTGTTTAAATATCAGGATACAAAGATTTGTTAGGAGGTATAAGTTTTCGACATTATTATGTTACAAGATTTTTTTTGCAGCATATTGCCGCAAGGCCACGCATGGTAATTCGGAAAATTAAAGAAAAACTTTAGAACAAAGCGGGGAAAAGTTTTTAAAACCTTTATTAAATTGCGATATAAACGCATTTCATTGAGAGAAAAAAACTTATTTCAAGAGGTATAGGTCCAATTCATCTGGTCGTCAACAGCGCGGATTTGCGTGGTTTTAAAAATTTTGCATAAACCGGAAATAAATACTGAAAACTGGAGTTAGTGACAACTCCAAGATTCAACTGAAAATTTGACAGTTTTCTGTGCCACTCCGTCCACTTTCACAGGAACCCCACATTTGAAAATTATCAAGTAGATATCTAATTCATATTTACAAAGCTTTTAATTGTACAGGTTGTGAATTGTACATTGCCAAAGTTGCATGTTAGGACACTTGAAATTACGCTTACAGTCCCTTTAAAGGCATCTATCATTTTTGGCATGCAATGCTTCCAATGAAAGGTCCCTTACAAGTACTTAGCCAGTTTCCTTTTTCCTTGGCGGATTTTACGAAATTTTGTTTAGATATTCTTCCATCAAGATTTTCAAGACACTATATACAGATCCTTCTCTCAGAGAGAAGTTGAACTACGTCTATAACCCAAATAGATTGTTAAATACAATATCAGTTTCAACCCTGTTATTTAGTCAATAGAAAATTGAATGAAAATGGTAAAAGCAGAAAAACAGAACACATAAAATTTCACTAATTTCACTGAAAGATAAGCACTACAGTCTAAAAATATCACTTTTATTCATAGTTTTTTTTCAGACACAGAAATTGAGTTGACACTTATGACGTAGAAACAGCTGTAATAAAAGTGTACGCATTCTGTGTTGCCTGTTACTGTACGAATTGTACTTGACAACCTATTTGCGTTTACCTGTAAGTGAGTTGAACTACATTAAAAAACCGTTGACAATTTATACAAAAAATTTGACCATATTACTAAATATTCTCACTCTTAATCCAACTACTAAAAAATGAAAAGTTTTTATAACATATAAAAACATGTCTTATATAATTGAGACAAATCGGTCAATGGGGTTCTCATGAGAGATTACAACTCTTTATATAATAGATATATACAGGGTTACCCACAAATAATAATAATTTACTGATGATTTGTTGATTGAATCAATGTTTCCTTTTTAAATACGAGACACATAAGACTGTGTAATAGAAGGACGACATTTAAGCAACTTGATGCGTATGCGTATGCGTATGCGTATGCGTATTTGTCAATTTGATGTTGTTGTCATAAAGCTAGCTGATTTTAACCAGAGCCCGCATCGTCCCAAATTAACGGCTGCGTATTTAAGCCGTACTTTGAATGTCTCTGTACAGTGTTTGTCCGCCAGATGTCACCTAAAGTATAGGTGTCAGCACATAATCTAATTTTACAATGCTTTCTAATTGTTTTCGCCGAGAGGGGTCGTGTTTCACCGTACTTCGGAGGGCCACAGTAGGAGACGTCATATGTTTACAAAAAGTACGGATGGGACGATTCGGGCTCAGTTGCATGACATTTTACTTCTTTCGTATACAATGCACAATTGCACGGTAGTGAAAAGTCGTCTTCCAATTAAACAGAGTTATTACGCACACGTCAATCTTAAGTAAAATGCAGCAAGTTTTTATCATAATACTTCATATTGAAGAGCTTTTGAAAAAAAAAAAATGTTTTGAATCCATGTTATGTAACCAAATAAATTTGCTTTTCTTACTTACAAGCGAAAAATCAGAACTAGAGGAGTAACGGAGTCACAAAGTCGTAATAATAATAACAATTGAATCTGACCTTCTCCTCCTGGTTAGTTTGCCGTGAAGTGAAATAAACCCATAAATCAGTCTCTTTAAGTAAAATTAGAAACAACCAGTCAAGCCTTAAAAATTTGACCGTATTACTAAATATTCTCACACCTTTAATCCAACTACTAAAAAATCAATAATTTTTATTACATATAATTAATGTAAAGCTTGAAAACATGTCTCGAATAATTTTAACAGTTTTTAATGCAGAGTACGCAAATACACATTACAGGGGTTACTGAGTAAACAGATCAAATTTTAAAATTGTTTCGTCTTAAAGATTTATCCAGATGTTTTTATTAGTATCATTTAGCCCTTAATATTATTATTATTAAGAAAGATTTTTTTCTAAATTTTTATAAAAGATCCTGCATCCGACATTTATTTTTAAAGAAAACCGCAATTATAATCTATTTTTTTAACAGCAAATATAATTTAAGCAACTTATCGTAGACGACCAGCTTTTATTAAATGCTAGGTCATTTGAAATTACGTTGACTGCTAGACCCTCTAAAACAATAATAAAAAACATAAAAAATTTATTTTTGAATATTCAAATGTTAAAAAGTTAAACAGTTAAATCTAAAATAAAAAAGTTGAACAGTAGCAAAAATAAGATCGAAAATTTATCAGTCAAAATTCAAGGCAATGCAAAGTTTGATTGTGCAAAAAAGTTATATTGTCAACCGACAAAATAGTTATTTAAGTAAAATTTTTAATAAATAACATTGAATTTAGCCATTAATGTAATTCAACAATACTATGTGCTTGCGGTCGCATTATATGTTTGAATTATTTTCATCTTTTATCCCCCCCCCCCCAAGCTGTAATTAAAAATGTTCGTCATGAAAAAGGCTAATGAACAAATAATAATCATTTATTAACAAATAAGGTTTCCATCGGTTTCTCCATTTTAAAAACCAGATCCATCTAAATCTCAAGGAACAGTCCCATTTACATCAGGATATTTTTACCACGCATTTTCTTCTTTAATAGTCATGGGTTCCATTTTCATGGCAAAATCATTTATAGAATCATTAATATCATCCTCTGAATTGTCATGAATCGAATGTTTCTTTAATCTGTGCTCTTTGAGAACACTTACACGCTTAGCAATGTATTCACATTCAGTACATGGATATGTTACTCCAAGATGAAGCGCTTCTTCGTGTCTTTTTAAATGTGACGGTTTAGTTGCGGAGTAATCACATTCTGGACATGGATACCTCACACCGTCATGCTTACTTTCCCGGTGTCTTTTTAAGTAGGAAAAATGTGTTGCTGTATAATCGCATTCAGTACAGGGGTACAATACCTCAGTGTGTTTTGTATCCTTGTGTCTTTTCAACTGTGGTTTATTTGTCGCTGTATAGTCACATTCATCACAAGGATGCGTTACCCCTGAATGTTTCCGCACTTGATGTCTTTTCAGTTCCCTATTGGTGTTAGTGGAATACTCACACTGATCACATGGATGTTTTATACCCAAGTGCTTTCTCTCAATGTGTCGTTTTAATTCTTTGGAAGTGGTTGTGGAATACTCACATTGACTACAAGGAAACCGAACTGCATGATGTCGACTCTTCTTGTGTATTTTCAAGTCTCTTGCTTTGGAGGCCGAGTAGTCACATTCAGTACAGGGGTACTTTAATTTTGTTACTTTTGAGTTACCCGGGTCTAGTGAATCGGCAGGATTTAGATCTTCCTCCTTCTCTTCCTCTTTCTCTTCTTTAATATTGATATCTTCATTATATCCTTCATAAATGGCATTTTCAAGATCATTTTCAGGTTCGGGTTCAGATTTAACCATATCAGTTATTGGAAGCACTAGATCAGTGTAATCATCATCTTCTTGGGTTTCTTCCGTTTCATCAACTGAAGGTTCAGGAAGAGCATCTTCTGGTTCACATTTGATAGGAAACATAGAATCATCTTCATCTTCTACCTCTTCATCTTCCTCATCTTGAAAAGATTGGTTCATAATATCAGATTCCGAAGTATCTAGATTTCCATGCTTTCTTCTCTGGTGAGCTTTCAAAACGTTCTTACGTTTAGCAACATAATCACACAAATCACACGGATATGTTATTCCGAGATGAACAGCGAGCTGGTGTCTTTTCAAATGTGAAGGTTTGGTGGCCGAATATTCACATTCAAGACAGGGATATCTCACACCTTCATGTTTGCTTTCTCTGTGATTCTTTAAATATGTGGCACACACTGCAGTGTAGTCACAGTCAGGACACGGGAATATAACTCCACGGTGTTTAATATCCTTGTGTTTCTTTAATTGAGATGAATACGTGGCAATATGATCACACTCATCGCAAGGATACCTCACACCCAAATGTTTACAGTCAATGTGTCTTTTCAAATCCTTGGCAACGGTTGCTACATAATCACACTCGGTGCAAGGATATCTTACACCAAGATGAACCTTTTCAACGTGTACTTTCAATTCTCTCGGCGTGGAGGAAGTATAATCACACTCCGAGCAGGGATGTCGTATTCCGAGATGTTTACTCTGAACGTGTCTTTTTAAACAAGACAAAGTAGTGGAAGAATACTCACATTCGTAACAGGGAAACTCTGCCCCCATGTGTTTTCTCTGCGTGTGCCGTTTTAGCTCTCTGGCGGTGTTTGTAGAATATACACACTCTGCACAGTGATGACGAATTCCGGAGTGTTTTCTTTCTTTGTGTCTTCTCAATTCCTTAGACGTTGTTGTTGAATATTCACAAACATCACAGGGATGTCTAATCCCAGAATGCATTCTTTGTTTGTGTCTCTTTAACTCTTTAGAAGTTGTTGTAGCGTAGCTGCATTCATTACAAGGGAACCCAGCTCCAACATAACTCCACTGTTGAGAAGGATTCTGTTCTGCAGGCAAGGTGGCAGGATAATCCCAGTCCGCCATTTTGAATCCAGATTTTCCAGGGAGTTCAATCAACCTAAAACAAGATCAAGATTAATCCAGATATTCCAGGGAGTTCAATCAACCTAAAACAAGATCAAGATTAATCCAGATATTTCAGGGAGTTCAATCAACCTGAAACAAGATCAAGATTTAACAAAGCTCGGAAGGCAAGATGTTATTGGTTTTAGCCATTTTCTCTTTTTAAATTTCTTCCATCATGACTTAAGTGAACAGATCACTTGTTCATAGTAACTACCCTCAATATACCCTAGTCAAGCAGTAGCGCTCGGTCCCCCCTGGCATTTTATGAGAGCAGCATACTACCCCTTTAAAGGCCTAAACTTAACAAATTTCAAAGAGGAAAAATTGGAATAAAGTAAATGCCGTGACACAAATAAGAAAGAAAAATTAAAAAGAATATAAAAAGATTAAGCTGAAGATCATAAAACAGGATGGATTTTAGAAAACAGGATGGATATTAGAAAACAGGATGGATTTTAGAAAACAGGATGGATATTAGAAAACAGGATGGATATTAGAAAACAGGATGGATTTTAGAAAATAGGATGGATTTTACAAAACAGGATGGATATTAGAAAGCAGGATGGATATTAGAAAACAGGATGGATATTAGAAAACAGGATGGATATTAGAAAACAGGATGGAAATTAGAAAACAGGATGGAAATTAGAAAACAGGACGGAAATTAGAAAACAGGACGGAGATTAGAAAACAGGATGTAGATTAGAAAACAGGACGGAGATTAGAAAACAGGATGGAGATTAGAAAACAAGATGGATATTAGAAAACAGGATGTAGATTAGAAAGCAGGATGTAGATTAGAAAACAGGATGGAGATTAGAAAACAAGATGGATATTACAAAACAGGATGTAGATTAGAAAACAGGATGTATATTAAAACCGAGACGGAGATTAGAAAACAGGAGGGAGATTAAATCAGGATGTAGATTTAAAAACGAGATGTAGATTAGACAACAGAATAGAGATTAGAAAACAGGATGGAGATAAGAAAATGAGATGAAGATTATGAACAGACAGGCTTGACATAAATGAATAAGATAATAATTAGAAAATAGAATTGAGATTAAAAAAAGGATGGAGATCAGAAAACATGATGCAAATTTAGAAAAAGACGGAGATAAGAAAACAGGATGTAAATTGGAAAACAGGATGGAAATAAGAAAACAGGATGAAAATTAGAAAACAGGATGCAAATTTAGAAAAAGACGGAAATAGGAAAAAAGGTTGGAGATTAGAATTAAGGATGGAGATTAGCAAACAGGAGGGAGACTAGAAAACGAGATGGATATTAGAAAACAGGATGTAGATCAGAAAGCAGGATGTAGATTAGAAAACAGGATGTATATGAAAAACTGAGACGGAGATTAGAAAACAGGAGGTAGATTAGAAAACATGATATAGATTTAAAATGAGATAAAGAATAGCAATAAGGTGCAAATTTAGAAAAAAGAGAAAACATGATGCTAATTTAGAAAAGAAAACGGAGAATAGAAAACATGATGCTAACTTAGAAAAGAAAACGGAGAATAGAAAACATGATGCTAATTTAGAAAAGAAAACGGAGAATAGAAAACATGATGCTAATTTAGAAAAAAAAGATGGAGATAGAAAACATTATGTGAATTTAGAAAAAAAGATTAGATATTAGATTTGATACCAGGAAGAATGAAAAAAAGCATGGCGAATATTTGGAAACGGGCCAAAAAAAATTTTAAACAATTTTTTAAGAAAGCATTTCATTAACAGATAAAAAAAATTACCCTGATATCTCAGAGAAGGGTGGTTTTTATCAAGAATTCACATCAGCGGAACATGTTTTTTTTCTGAAATGAATTAATGATTAATTAATTATCTCATTAAAAAAAATCTGTTATTCAACAGATTAAACAAACAAATAAATTTATTGAAAAATACAAATTGGAATTTTTATCACATTTTTTTCCCGCGCAGATTAACATCTCCACGTGGATTTTCTGTCCATCTTTCTCGTCCCACAAACTTATTTCGCCATTCGGAACCTCTTAAACAGTGGATGCGCAAACTAATGAAAATAATGTGTAAGTTAAAAAAATAATCCTAACATAAAAAAACATGTTCACTTTAATTATATAAACATGTTGACATATTGTATCATGGCCAATTGTAACATTTTTTAATGTAATGTAAGCGTAATTTCAAGTGACCCCCCACGCAAAGATGACAATGTCTGATTCACAAAGGTACCTTTGAAACTTTTATTTAATCAATAATCATAATTAATTTACTAGGTTTAGAAGTGATTAAATCTAATAAATCCTATATATGTTTTCCAGCAGCAGAAATCCGCAAATCACTTTTTGAATTCAAAAAATAAATTTTCTCAAATTATAGACATTGATAACTAATTTACTTATTAAGACAAAGCAGCTTTTAAGGGTACCGTTGTAAATCGGACATTACCATTTTTGCATGGAGGGTCACTTGAAATTATGCTTTTTGTTACTTTTTCCGTCTTTTTACGATTATTTTTGATCTTATGAAACTATTGTGTACTTTATCATTTTTACTCACTTCATCGTGAATTTTATAATGAACGTGCTATAAAGTAATCTTTGGGCTATAAAGTTAAATTAGCTGTACATTATAGCACGTGTGCTATAAAGTTTAGATTGGTTCCCGGATTTTCTCCGAAAAATTTAGGATATTTCCAAAATATTTTTTTCAGTCGAAATAAAAATAAAATTGAAATTAATTATATATTTTGACTTCTGCTTTGTTTCAAAGCTTATTTGATCTAGAAACAGCCATTGAAATAAGACAAGTACACAAACGTTTCAGAAAATTACCCATATCACTATTATTTTGGCACGACGTGCTATAAAGTTTTTGCACTTGAATTTTCTCTATATCTCGAAGGTTTTCGCCTTTTTAGACTATATTTTGTCCCTCTCTAAAGCTCGGGGCAAAATTGAATCTAAAAAACTAGAACCTAGATAAAGAGAAAATTTTTGTCCAAAAACTTTATGACACTGCGAAACAGAATAACAGTGTTATAAATAGTTATTCTCGTTGAATGGTTATTGTTATAATCATTGTTATATATTTATATTTAGAAAAATTAACAATAAACAAAATTTATAACATAAAAAGAATCTTTAATTGTACCAACTTTTTAATGATGAAAAAAAATATTTTCAATTAAACGTTTGAACATTATATTATCCCGAAAAATCAAACCTTTGTTTTACTGCTAAGCTCCAGGTAGAGATTATCATCACCCCCGGACATACTCGCCATGTTTCCTAATCAAATAAAATTACATAATAATATTTTTGTGCTTGGCACATTTAGGTGAAAAGAGTAATAAACTATTTATTTAATTTTTACAGCCCCTCCCCCCCATCTCAGATGTNCCATAGTTTCGTGAGGACCACTGAGCACTTTCTTCAGAAAAAAAAGGGGTTTAATAGAATAAATATGCGGAATCTTGTTGTATTTTATCTTTGAATATACTTTGCTTGTCTATTTGCCTGTTTGTTTGTATACAATAAACGTTAAAACGGCTGAACCGAACTTTGTCTGAGACCTTAAAGACTCCAAGTAAAGTTTATGGATGGGCAGAATTAAAACAATTCACCTTCAAACCATTTTTATTTTGGTAAAATTTCGAAAATCCACGAAAAAAATCCGGGAATTTTTTCTTATTGTTTTATTAAAATGCAAGAAGAAAGCCTAGTAGATAAAATGAATTTATAAAAAGTTGTAATATCATTAATTATTAATTTCTTGTTACCAAACTTCCTGGTAGCTCCTCCCTTTCCTCCTTGCATGAGAGCTTCTTCATCTACATCAGCATCATTAGCAGCCAGGGTCTGCTGCAGCAGGTTCACCTGATCAATATCAGTTCTTGGGAAACATTTCATAAAAGAATCAACTCGGATCCAGCCCATGAAAATTATTTAAAGGGACCGTTAACTTATTTGGGTAATTTGCAATAAGCAAATGTATCATACCTTTCCGCCGGAAATCTAAACGATAACTCGGTTTTTTCTCCGGTCATAGATATCTTTGAAAAGTGAGACTAATACCAATGAATAGCTATTTAGTTTACTATGAAATTACCCAAATAAGTGAACGGTCCCGTTAAGTGTACCGACTACCTGTTGCTCCTTCTCTTTATACATAAGATCCATATCCTCATCCATCCCTGCCAGTTTTGTCACAACCTGATACAGATTAAAGAAACTCAAGTGGTAATTTCAAGTGACTCTCCCTATTTAGAGTGACATATCTATTTCTCCACGGTACCCTTAGAATATTTAACTCAAACTGATCAAAATTGTGGAAGATATCGTCGCTTTTCTTTGAAAAGTGTTGAATTCTGACAAAATCCACTATTTTTTCTGTAGCAGATATCCGCAAGTCACCTTAAAAGCAAAACTGAAAACATTAATATATTATTCATTCTTAATCATTGTCCCGTGCTTGGTGGTTCTCACTCTGTCCGGTGTGGCCAGCCACCAATGATACTTATCTACTTCCAATGGAGATAGTGTGGTAACATGGGCTCTTCCCTAAACATTCCTTGTATTGAAGGATAACTGTTTTTTGTTATTTTACTTTATCATGTCTGATCAAGAATCAATGAGACTTCCATTTGAAGACTCTTTTCTTTAAATCATGGTTTTTCTACAATCTGCTACGTGCAGATACAATGAGAGGAAATTATTAGAATTAAACACTGTTAAAGCTAGAAAAAACGACAATATCTTCCACATTAAAATCAAATAAAGGTAAAAAGGGTACTATTGTAATTTTAAAATAGAATAACAAAAACAGTTCCTTAAAAGGAGGGAAATGTACATTCTAGAAGTGTCTGTGGATTTTGTCATTTCCAATTGTTAAAAATTTCTCAATTGAAGTTATCCTTATCCCTCCAGGGTATAACCATCACTGGTTATCAAAGAGGAATTGAATTAATCAGTAGATCTGCACAAGATGGAGATAAATGCTTAATCCGAAATTTCTGCTTTTACGTCTCTCTCTTTTAGGAATAATTTACAAAATTCTTACAAAATTCTTCACATGTTCTGATAATTTAAAGAAAGGTATCTTTTATTATTATTATATTCTTAATTTTTAATGTTTATCTATTGTATTTACGATAAAATGTCTTAATTTTGTTTATTGTGAGTTGTGATCAATTAAACTAGTTTCTAACATAAAAAGCGTACAATGTATAACTCACCTTGTACGCATATCCTTGGTTAACCAAGAATCTCTGACGCTTTCTACTGAACGCCATTTCTTGCGTATCCTAAAGTATGTTTAATCATTATTTCTCGTCAATTTTTTCAAAACTTAACCCAACCCAACCCTAACCTAACTTCTAACTTCTAACTTCTAACTTCTAACTTCTTACTTCTAACTTCTAACTTCTAACTTCTAACTTCTAACTTCTAACTTCTAACTTCTAACTTCTAACTTCTAACCCAACCAAACCATAATAAAGCTAAAACTCTGCATAAAATTGATGTAGAACTAATCTAAAATTGTTGTCCTACCTCAGAAACTAGAGTGTAAAAGAAAGCGTTGAATTCATCCACAATAGCACCTAAAAATACAAAACCTCTAATTTTCAAATATTTTTTTATCTGAAAACTAAAAGAAGTTGTTTAAAAGGTACTGCAGACGTAATTTTGAGTGACTCTTCCGTAATTAAAAACTAAAATGGCACTCTCTAAACTTCTTTCTGGGTAAAATGAGGAAACTTTTTTATTGATGTTTTGTTTTCTAATAACTTTCCATCATTGTCTCTGCAGTATAAATCCGCATGTCACATAGGAACCACGATTAAAAATAATATATTTTCTGCAATAAAAATGTAAAATGTTGGATATCTCATTCACTCTTTTATCAGGCTTAAAATACCGTTGTGGATTGAACACTCTATAATGGAGGGTCTTTTATTATGTCTAGTGGTCATAGAGGAAGACATTTCAAAAAATGCTCCGACGCATAATTTCTTCTGGAATTTTATAGCTTTTAAACAACATCCACAAAACACCTTAACGGGAAGGTTCACTGTAAAAAGAAAATCACCTTTCTTAGCTCTAAGAATTCTGCCCAACCTTTGAGCTTCCTGCCTCCGAGAACCACCATGGCTTGATATCTAAATATATATTTATGAATAAAGCTTTATTGTTAAGTACAGTCCACTACTATATTACGACGTGATGGTGCTCCTTTACAGCCATAGAGAATAGAATAATTATTAGAGTGGAATTTAGAAAATCTCTCGGTATGAATTTTTTCAGTCCCTTCCAGCCTGAAAGGGAGTTCAAAGTTTACAAATCATGTAAATGTTCACAAATTATGTGCAGTAGAAAACATTAATACAGTATGTTCCCTAGACTATTCATTTCAATTTCGAATTTTTTAAACTGTTAAATGAACTTTATAATGAATTGGGTGAATAAAAAACATCATTTGATTTATATTTATAACGGAAAATCATCGTTTGTAAAGTGGAAGGCATAGAGTCTATGTGAAATGATCATTAGTCAATTATGAAACCAGTCTATTTCATAATTTGGTTTTCTTCTAACAATAATTTTAGATTTTCTATAAAACGATATTCCATGGCCCAAAAGGTTATGTAGCATAAATATGTGAAGTACACCTGCAGTATCGAAACAGTACAACAAAATGGATGTTTTACAGTTTTTTCTAGTAAATTCCACTCTAATATATATTCTATTCTCTTCCTATACAGAATACAATAGACAATTTACATCACAGTTCTTTTTTTGAATAAGATTCTGGCAATTAACGGTTCAAAGAAATGATTAATAATTTCCTCGACTTGGAAAAATACTCAAAATTAATTTTTAACTCTCACTCTTTAACTCTTTCTCATTTGAGCACTTTTGTAAAACTTTGTATAATTTGCTTCATTAAAACTCTTTCTTTTTATGATTTTTCAATAACTCTTGTTCAGCTCGTTTTAAAAACTCTCCCTTATCCTGATATTTTAAGAACTCTTGTTCAACTTATTTTATTTAACTTTCACTTATCCTAATATTTTAGGAGCTCTTGTTTAACTTATTTTATTAAACTCTCACTTATCATGAATTTCTGATATCTCAAGAATTCTTTTCTACTTGTTCTAATCAAAATCTTTCTTCAAATAATAATAAAATCGAATCAAATCGAACCAAATCAAATCAAATCAAATCAAATCAAATCAAATCAAATCAAATCAAATCAAATCAAATCAAATCAAATCAAATCAAATCAAATCAAATCAACTCAACTCAACTCAACTCAACTCAACTCAACTCAACTCAACTCAACTCAACTCAACTCAACTCAACTCAACTCAAATTAATGTTACTTATACTAAATCAGTATTGCAAAAACTCTTGTTTTGTTTTATTTAACTCTTTCCCATCCTGGTATTGCAAACACTCTTTTTTAACTTGTTTCGCTGAACTCTTACTTCTTAACCTGATTATTTAACAACTCTTGTTAATATTTAATCTTGTTACATATAAAAACTTTATGACATCTTGCTTTTTTATTTTTTTTTTAACAATTTGCACAAAAAAATTGATGATAATACCTGTATCAGAACGTTCGCTTCTGGTAGATCAAAGCTGGTATCTGCTACTTTAGACACAAAAATTGTGTTCACTATCAGATACAAAATAATGCAAGGGTTTTTAAGGCAAAACAGAGGATAAACAAAAAAGTAAAAATCTCATCCGACTGTTAGCGTTAAAGTAACATTATAGTCCTCCATGCAAGGAAGGCAATGCCCGATTCACAATGGTACCCTTGAACCTTTATCTGATTGATAACAATAAATAATTTTTTTTCATGTTTATAAGTGCTTAATTCTAGCAATTCCTATACGTTCTCCGGTCACTTTTGCAGAGAAACCGCATTGAAAATAATAAGTTTTTTAACATCATAAAAACGTATATCTAATTTTACTTGATAGACAAAGCTTTCAAGGGTACCGCTGTAAATCAGGCATTGCCATCTTTGCATGGAGGATCACTTGGAATTACTCTTACAGTCCTTTAACGGGGTGTCATGGTCTCACTGCGCGCTTGCAATTGTATTAATTTTTTTTTAGCAATTTGGAAGTCTGTTTTGAAGTATTTTACATATTTTATTTTCCTTTTGGATTGTATTTGAAGTTCTGAAGAATAGTGATTCTCTCCGATTGTGATGTAGGACCGTAGATATACGGTTTATTCAACTCCTTAGCATAGTGTTTCAAGGCATACACATTATCACTAGATAGATAGATAGATAGTTAGATTGTGATGTAGGACCGTAGATATACGGTTTATTCAACTCCTTAGCGTAGTGTTTCAAGGCATACACATTATCACTAGATAGATAGATAGATAGTTAGATTGTGATGTAGGACCGTAGATATACTGTTTATTCAACTCTTTAGTGTAGTTTTTCAAGGCATACACATTATCACTAGATAGATACATAGATAGAAAGATAGAAAGATAGATAGATAGTTAGTTAGTTAGATAGATAGATAGATTGTGATGTAGGACCGTAGATATACTGTTTATTCAACTCTTTAGGGTAGTGTTTCAAGGCATATACATTATCACTAGATAGATACATAGATAGAAATATAGAAAGATAGATAGATAGTTAGATAGATAGATAGATAGATAGATAAATAGATAAGGTAAATTGTTTATCGGAAATATGTAAGTAAAAAATAAAAATGAACTAAATATATGGCAACTAGATGGATGAATGAATTAAAAAATATGATGCAAGCAAAAAATAAGAATAAAAAAAATATAATTATTAATTACCTAAAAACAATAATCTTATCATTCCTCCTCTCATGATACTTGATTAGAAACTAGAAAAAAATATATTTTAAAATACTAGATTTTTTATCTGAATACATATTTTATAGTCAGGATTAGTCACCGAAATTCAGGGGCGTATATTTTCAAGAAAAATCCTCCCTTCTTTTGAAAATAAGTGTTCCTTTAGAAGTTAGGTATGTTTGTTTGCGCTAAGGGGAAATATTTTGACCCCTAAAGGAAATATTTTGACCCCTAAAGGAAATATTTTGACCGCTGAAGGAAAAACGAACCAACTGAAGGCACATCACTACCTGGGTGGCCCTGAACTTATTTGGGTTCATCACGCAGAGCAACATCTTCTTCATGGAGCTCATGCTCAGATACTCCCTGTAGAACTCCGGTGTCATACTGCACCATACCTAGATACAATTCAATCAGAGCGCTTCACGCCCTTCTTCCCAAAATTACAGTCTTTTTTCCTCAATACAATGGTTTTTAAAGTAACTACAAACCACTTTATTTATTATCTAGCTTGGAAACCAAGCGCTGCCCAGGCTACTCATAGTTACTCCCGCCATTTACCCGCACTTGAACGATTTTACCGGGAAACTGAATTTTCGCTATAAAAGTCGACACACTCAACTTATAATATCAAAACCAAGCTAAGAACATTCCTGTGGGTTTCGCGAGTTCCCAAATCAATATTTGAGGCAAATTGGTTCAGGGTTTCCCATGAGTTATGATTGAACAAACAAACAGACATACAAACAAACGGAGACAACATCTTTATATATAAAGATACATTTAAAAATGTTAAGAATCACGCTTCTTTCGGACAAATAGTATATTTGACTTCTCTCAAAACTGAGATTATTTATAATTTTGAAACTGCATTATAAGAAAGATAACTTTTAACGAGGACATTGTGGAATTCCCTTTCCTAGTGCTTACAGTAAAAATGAAAGTATAAAAGCTTAATAGTTTGTAAACTGTATTACCTTTTTACGGGAAATTGAACTAACAGTAAAATCAGAAAATTATCTTTAAATACCTTTTTATACATTTTGGTCGACACATTATTTTTATACTCAATTCATTAGACATATTAATGAATGATGTATAGAATACGCGAGAAACTTAATTCATGCCGCTTAATATTTTCTTGAGAAAATGTTTAGTGTTTACCTCAACACACTGCACCCTGGCAATAAACCCTTCCTTCTGCAGTTCCAACCAGTTAGCCTCGTACAGCTTTGGACCTTAGTAAACATAAATCAATCAATCAAAAATCGACTAAAAAATCAATCAGACAAAAAATCAACTCACTCAATCAATTAACATAAAAACGGAACTTACCAAAAAGTAAGGATGGGACTTACCCATAAGTAAGGATGGAACTTGCCCATAAGAAAGGAAAGAACTTACAAATCAATCAATCAGACTTTAAAAAAAGACGGAACTTACCGGAATAAATTGCCGAACTTCCCAATAAGAAAGGTCAAAGTGGAACTTACCGATAAGATAGGATATAATTAACCAATAAGAAAGGATGTAACTTACCAGTAAGTAAGGATATAATTAAACAATAAAAAAGATGGGTCTAACCAATTAGAAAGGTCAAAGTGGAACTTACCAATAAGAAAGTTAAGATCTGCAATCTTATCATCTTCTCTGACTAGAGTAGCGGTCAAACCCAGCTTTGTGTGAGACTGTACCTGGGTCAACACACGCCTAGATAGATAGATAGATAGATAAGATAGATAAATAGATAGATAGATATATATATATATATAGTTGAAAATATAGTTGAAAGATCAAAATATTGTTGGAAAGAGAGTTAGAAAGAAAGAAAGAAAGACCGATGTTTACTAGATACAAGAGAAAATGATTTTTGGAGACAAAAATGTTAGAATAAAGGCATCACTGCAAACCAAGACACTTCTAAACAAAAATTTTACCAATAAATCTTTTCAAACTTTAACTAGAATCAAGAGCAATGCATTTTTAAAATGTGTATGTCTAGGGCTACAAAATAGTATAATAAAGTCGAGGCTGTCTAAAATTGTAATGACTTAGTTTCAGAGTTGTCTAAATCTCAGTAGCATACATACTGCATTTACATTGAATTAAGAGAAACATAACTATAATCCATTAACAACCTGCGCCTCTAAATTCAAAATATGTGATCGATAATATAGTAAAAGGTGTTCAAAATCCCTTTAGGAATATTAAAAAACAAAAACTAACCTGAACATTTTGGCAGGAATTGTGTGCACTTCGTCTAGGACCATAATACCCCATTCCTGTACAAATAACATAAATAACAGGGATGAATATTTTCTCTTAAAATCACTAATAATCCCCACCCCCTTAAAAAATCATTTACCCAAGGCGTTTGATAAAGTTGCGAGGAGCTCAAAATGTTTTTTTTTTTCAGAGTTTTATTATTATATTGAAAAATTAATATATTTATCAATACATAATATGATATACTAGCTTAAGAACCCAGGGTACTCATTATTACTCCCGCACCTTAACGGGCGCTTGATCGTAAATTACAACTTTAGCTATATAATTGGACCGAATCATAACTTAAATCTTAAGTTATGCTAGGACATACAAACAGATTAAAACTAAATTAACCTGCTCTTGAATCCATTTCATAGTTTGCTCTGCTTCCCAACTTCTTTTCTAGATTAATAATTTAGGATGAATAAATAAGTTTCTTAAAAATTAGAATTTATACATGAAATGAAAAAATAAATAAATGAATGAATAATTAAACAATTAATAATGTAGAGGTAAATGAATAAATAACTGAATAAATGAAAGGATAAATGAAAAATGAATGAAAGAATAAATAAACGAATGATTTATTGAATTAATGAATGAATATAAGTATGAATGAATAAATGAATTAAACGATAAATAAAACGATAAATAAATAAAAATATAAATGAAAGAATCAATAAGTTAATGACAGATTGAATGAATAAAAAAATAGAGGATGCAATAATGAACGAATGAATGAAAGAATAAATAAATAAATGAATGAACGAGTAAAAGGATTGATGAATGAATGAATGAATGAATAGACGAATAAATGAATGAATGAGTGGATGAATTCTACCTGTGTATGAGTGATCATATTGAATGTTGTAATAAGCACTGCACATCCCATTGGTTTGTCTTTAGCATCGCTTGTAAACCTACAAACACAGACATTTGAAAATAATACAGTGAGGCCTAAAAACCTGTGGAATAGGAAAACGACATTTAAGAAATATTAAGGCCAAGGGTATCTGATATTGTTATAAACAAATAGTTTTCCCAGTACCTTTGTCAATTTTTTTAGTGAATTGGGTCTGTGTACACTGCACAATTGCTGTGCCTCATGTTCAATAGACCATTGAATTCCTTTGCCACGGTTGTATGCATAGGTCCCAGTGAAAGTTTCAATAATTTTGTTCAAAATTATTAACAGAATGTTAGAAATATCTTACTTAATCCTAACATTTGTTGCGTAATTTCGAGCGATTTGTTAAATGTTTTTTAGAAAATTCGTGTGAACCTCAATTATGAAAAAGGAGTGTAAGCGTAATTTTAAGTGATCAGCTAAGAGCTGAATAACCGATTTCCAACTAAACCCTTTATATTTTTAACTGATCATCAATGGCAAAGAACTCCGTGTGTTTATCCTTAAAATGTTGTTTAAATTGCCAGAAAACTCGAGCCTACGGTGTGAACTCAACGGAACTCAATTAAAGGTTTACATGGTACTGTTATGAATTAGACACGTGCGTCTCTAGTACTCATTCATTCATATTTTTATTCAACTACAAAGCATGAGATATTACAAATAAGCAGTTACAATTTACAATGCAGTTTGGACCCGCCTAAACAAAGTTGGTTGTTTTGAGTGATTGGCCCGAAGTTAATTAACGATACTGAATATAATTGGTTACACATATCAAGATATGTTTTTGGATAGGTAAGGAGTTGATTGGAAGGAAGGAGATTGTCAGGTGATCTGTGGCAGGGGGAGATCAGAAAGATTTTTATGTAGAGATAAATTATAATACAGGGTGTTAATGATGGTAGTTACATAAACAGAAATAAGCTTATAAAGTTTCAGTTATTTTAGTCGTTTTATATAAAAATTATTCACACGATATACAGCTAGGTTTTTCACATTTAAACCTCTCATAATTCTCAAGATAAATATTGGTTACTCTTTTTTTTTAAATATTTTCGCAGATTTAGTTTCTTTAAGGTCAAATTCAATTTCATTCCACAATTTAGGAAACATTGCGGACGGAAAGCTTTCTAAATTTTGGTTTAAAATTGAAATTACGCCTACAGACCCTTTAAGTTTGGTCTCTCAGTATGCAGTAACCGCAAAGTGTTGTTAACCGTGTTGTATCGTCGTATTTAAAAATTAAATAAAACTGTGTTATAAGTTAATGTTTGCTTTTATTAAACTTTGCAATATTTTTATCCTAAAAATGAAAAAACAGAATTACAATCACAAACGATCTTTGCACCGTCGTTTGTGGGTCGTTTTTTTCATATATTTTCTGTCAGGGTTAAAATTGAGCATAGTGTAAGAAAAACAATTTTTTGGGATAATAAATTTAAAAAACATTTTCTTTTATTACACTATGCTATTGCTAATTATTGACCCTGAAAGAAAATATAGACAAAAAAAAATAAAAACTATGCAAAAAACCCTACCTGCAAATTATACAAAAAAAAACCCTACCTGCAAATTATGCAAAAAAAAACCCTATCTGCAAATTATGCAAAAAAAACCCTATCTGCAAATTATGCAAAAAAAACCCTACCTGCAAATTATGCAAAAAAAACCCTATCTGCAAATTATGCAAAAAACCCTACCTGCAAATCATGCTATCATCAGCAGTGCTCCACATCTTAAACTGGGTCTTCCATTGTTCGACACTAACACCAGAGTTACACAGCACTATAGCCTACAGTGGGACAGGGGTGTGTATTTTCTTATAAAATCATTTTTCCCTTCTTCTTGGTTTTTTTGAGCTTAATTGAGGAAATCAAAGGATTTTTAGGGGAAAATAAAAAAGGACGAAAATTTTCCCTCTGTTGACTAAATTTATTAAATCCCCCCTAGCCTCCCCCCTCATTATCATTATCATTAACAATTATTTAATTGTTATAATTAAATATACCCCTGCAGTGAAATCTTAAAATAATTAAACTTTTGGAAAGTGAGACTAAGAAAACTGTGGGAAAAGGAAGACGACAGATAAACTCAAGTTATGGTTTTGAATAGTCCACAGGGAATAAGAATAAAGTGAAGGGAAATGGCGCTAGTCTGGCATGAGAAAGTCAGGTGTACTGCTTTGCAGACGAGTTCGTTATTACACACGCACACTCTTTTGGTACAGACACACAACATGATTACATTCAAGGAAATTGCAGAACAATGTCGTCAATACAATTAAGCTTGAATAACGAGTAGTTTATTGTAAACTTTAATCCAATTAAATATGGGTCATTCCATGTCAAGTCAACCACCTATGTCACAGATTTTGCTGAAATTTTGCATACAATTTGGGATATGAAAAAAATCAAGGAACCCCAAGATGAGCGTTCTGAGACCTCCGGGGCCGGAGATATGGCTCCGGAAAGTTTCCGATATTTCAAGATTTCGAGGACGGCCTCCTTATTTCAAATGGCTCTAACTTTTTTGTTTTTTGAAGATAGCTCCAAAAAAATTTTCAGTTTTTGATAGGTAATCAAAAGCTTGTTATTTGGCGTTAAAAAGAAAAAATATCATTAAAATGTTATTTACAGGTCATAATTGCATTTCTTTATTTTCAGCCTCCGTTTGAAAGAAGAAAGCAGAAATGAATTGTTATCACTAAAGTTTTTTTTTACCTTCTTCCTGACAGTACAGCAGGCGGTTACACCCACCAGACTTTTACCAGCCCCGCAAGGGAGTACAATTACACCAGACCTAAATAAATATATAGATAGAGTCGCATAAGAGCCAAAATACAGTAGTTAGAAACCTAAACAGTGGTTAGGAACCTTAAAGAGACTGTTCAGGAAAAATGAAAGGGAGACTAGCGTGAGACCTTAACACTTTAGGAGTTGAACGCGACCTAAACTAGTTCTATCTGATGTTCCTGTCTTGAGAAATTGATATAAAACTGTGTCAACGTTATACCAAAACTAATATATATATGAGATGTGGTATAGAAATCAAAGTTTTCAACAGATCACATTCAGTAAATACGCAACAATCTGAAAATTACAATAACCCAGAGAAGCCTGAACAGCTTAGGTACGCTCCTATAATAATTTGAATTTTATAATTTTTTATTTTTAGTAAATATAATTGATAATATAATTGATACAGATACTGACACGTGACCAGATACTGCGCTGTCAATGGTGGAAGGTCTGGTCGACCCCCATCAGAAATAAACGGCAAAGGAAGTACATTAATTAATCAAGGGGTAGGTGCCTAGAATATAAGGGGTAAGTGCCTAGAATACAATGGGTAGGTGCCTAGAATACAATGGGTAGGTGCCCAGAATACAATGGGTAGGTGCCTAGAATACAATGTGTAGGTGCCCAGAATACAATGGGTAGGTGCCTAGAATACAAACAATGTGTAGGTGCCCAGAATACAACAATGGGTAGGTGCCTAGAATACAATGTGTAGGTGCCTAGAATACAATGGGTAGGTGCCCAGAATACAAGGGGTAGGCGCCTAGAATACAATGGGTAGGCGCCTTGAATACATGGGTTAAAACCTAATTACCTGGCTCTGCCGTTACCGAACATTTTCCTGAGAGCTTTCTCCTGATAGGGTCTCAAGATGGCGGTAGGTTTTAAGTCTATGTTGATGTCAGGGTTTAGGGTGTCATTCCTTAATTTAAAACCAGATTAGTTATTTAACAATTAACAATAATGGGACGACCAACCATCAAACAAGCAAGCAAACAAGCAAGCAAACAAGCAAGCAAACAATCAAGCCAGAAAACAAGCCAGCAAACAAGCAAACAAGCACGCAAACAAGCAAGCAAACAAGCAAGCAAACAAGCAAGCAAACAAGCAAGCAAACAAGCAANGGGGACTGATAAATAGAGTTGAGAGAGGGACGAATGGAGTTGGGAAAGGGTTGGTTGGAGTCGGGAGAGGGGTGAATGGAGTTGGGAGAGGGAGGAATGGAGTTAGGAGAGGTATGAATGGAGTTGTGAGAGGGATGAATGGAGTTAGGAGAGGGGTGAATGGAGTTGGGAGAGGGATGAATGGAGTTAGGAGAGGGATAAATGGAGTTAGGAGAGGAGTGAATGGAGTTGAGAGAGGGATGAATGGAGTTTGGAGAGGAATCAATGGAGTTTGGAGAGGGATAAATGGAGTTAGGAGAGGGATAAATGGAGTTAGGAGAGGGATAAATGAAGTTGGGTAAAGGATAAATGGAGTTGGGAGAAGGCAATAATACTATCGGGAAAATTACAATTTGATGTCGTTATTAAACAACTAGCTTGGGAACTAAAATTGTTTAGGTCCATAAACTTTCCCTGGGGTCATTCGAGTTGCCATGCAAAAATTGGGCCCAATCGGTTCAGCCGTTTTGAAGTTTATTAAAATCAAATAGACAAACAACCAAAAACGGGGCTTCAACTTGATTTTTATCCATGTGTTTAGGAAAATTCGGCACCAACACTTTCGTCTTACGTACATAGGTTAGAAAGAAATAGTTTACCTCGAAGCTGACTAGTTTCTTATTCCCAGCATCTTCACCTTCATCATCCTCATCCTCACGATCTATCTTACTAAACACAATTCAGGTCAAAACTTTTTATTCTCATCCTCATCCTTTACTCATCCTCACGATCTATCTTACTAAACACAATTCAGGTCAAAACTTTTTATTCTAATCCTCATCCTTTACTCATCCTCACGATCTATCTTACTAAACACAATTCAGGTCAGGGAGGAGGCTGGGAAGAGGCTGGGAATGAAAAGTTTTGAACCCTGAACTGTTTTAAATAAAAAATAATATATTTAGTTATATACCTCCGTAAAAAAAAAATACCTGTAGAACGCGGTTATATCCTCCGGAACAGTTTCCCCCTCGCCACCTTTCACCGCTTCGGCTTCCGGCTTTTTGGCCGGCGCCGTCGCACCGAAGCTTGGAATTGTCGTCTTCACCGGTTCCTCTGTGATCAGATCTGTTTCCGCCGACGCTTCCGGTACACGCAGCCGACATTGCTAATCAGGATTAATAAATTGCTGTACATTTACAGAGTCTAGACGTAATTTCAAGTGACCTTCCGATCTCCGTTAAAGCATGGCATGACCCATTCACAACAGTAGCATTAAAAGCCTAGTCTAGTCATGAATAAATGAGATATCCAAGATTTTTTTTTAAAAAATGATTAATTTTAATTCTAGTTTCTCTCCATATAATGTGATTGTGATTTGCAGGTTTCTGCTGCAACAGCAATGGAAGAAATTTTTCAAACTAAAAAAAGACGATATCTTCCAAAATATTGATCGATAAAGGTTTAATGGTAGGGGTATTGTATCTTTAAATCCACGGTCAGTAGAAATTGAAACTACAGTTGTTTAAAGAGAGAGACTGACTAGACATGGTAGTTGAGATTTAAGTGCAGTATTGTAGAGAAAACTTTAGGGTTCATTTCATACCAATGAGACATTTTTACGGTGTACATTTTTAAAATAAGGCCTTAAAGTCGTTTGTAATATCTTACCAGATGTTTCAATCAGCAGAAGAATAGCTTGTAAAATAGTATTTGTTACATGTATTCTCCCTGTTATTTAAGATTTGTAAAAAAACGTTTCAAAATTGTACACAGGAAAAATGCCTTATTGGTATTAAATGAATCCTAAAGTTTTCTCTACAATACTGCACTTTCATCTCAACAACCATGTCTAGCAAGTCACTCCCTTTAAAGTAACACATACTTATTATTATTATTAACAGACGTCACAAAACCCAACAAGCACAGTGGTCCACAGGTTGGCAAAACCCCAAATTTCACTAACTTTTAAAACCATTTTTAAAGGTATAGTGCATTACTATAACAATATTCGAGAGCTAAATCCAAAATTTTGGAAAAAAATTTCGTTGGTACTCCAGTTATGAGGATTAGAGTCAAGAAGATTTATCATTTTATCTATTTTTACTATACTGCAACTTTTTTGATTAACAACTGTAAATACAAAAAACTTTTTGGTGAACAAAAATATTTTTTTTTCAACCAAAAAAAAATTAGGGGTAGATATTTGAAAAAAATTGTAAAAATTTGTGTAACTTTGAATTTACAAGTAGCGGGAAATTTTTTGCAAGGGTTTGCAAGATGTTAGACCAATGCCAATATGTCATGTAAGTATTAAACATGTTTCAAATTATGAACCATTTTGATCCATTTGAGCAAGTTAGAGCTGTCGGAACACAATCAAAGCAAATATATTTAGTTTCGAGGTTTCGTGATTTTTGTCCGCTTTAGTAACGTAAATTTGTCATTTAATTGTTTAAAAATCTTAGAAAATAACTAAGAAACTCTGCATTTTAAAAATGTTCAAACCCCTCCCATACCTCCATATGTATCTATTGACTATATCATGATTAACACTGCTTGATTCAAGATAAATCCTGAATATAGTTTGATAAACAGAGCTGAGATAAATCAGGATTAAGAATGCACATTGCAAAAATCTTGAATGTTGTTCAACACCTTGGCTTTTTATTCGTCAGTTAAGTGGTTCTCTTCAAGATGACAACTAGGAAAGATTTGCATGAATTCTCACGAGACTCAAATTAAATAAAAGCATATCTGATATGTTAAAAACTGAGGCCATAGACCTTAATTGTTCAAACATTTGAAATAACTGAAGAGAGAGCAAGCAATTTTCTTAAGAGTTTGAAGATAAAATGGACTAGCATAGACTATGATCAGAAAAGAATGCTTGAAAAGTATGGCTGAAGAGTCAAAGAAACTGTTGATTATGAAGAATTGTATGCTTTCAATAAAACTTAGATTTTTTTATTAACTGGTTAATTTTGCAGAATTTTTGGTTGCATTTTTGAAATTCTTGGCCCCAAAAACATATAAATCGATATACAACATGTATTTTGCACACATTTTTGCAATTTTTTTTGCATGTGCATGGGCCCTGGGCAAGTGTATAAAAGTTTTGGTTACATTTTTGAAATTCTTGGCCCCAAAAACATATAAATCGATATACAACATGTATTTTGCACATCTTTTTGCAATTTTTTTGCATGTGCACAGGCCCTGGGCAAGTGTATGAAAGTTTTGGTTGCATTTTTGAAATTCTTGGCCCCAAAAACATATAAATCGATATACAACATGTATTTTGCACATATTTTTGCAATTTTTTTGCGCGTGCACGGGCTCTGGATGAGTGTACGCAAATTTTGACTGCATTTTCGAAATCCTTGGCCCCAAAAAACCCTATTTTGATGTATTTCATGCCTAAAAGTCTTTTAAATAGTTTTGTCCATTTTTTGCAACTTCTGGACCACTGTGACATGTGGTGAAATAAAGGATTATAGTTTTAAATGGCATCTTTGTGCTTACAGGGAGAAAGGGGGGAGGCTAAAGGCCTAAGCCCAGCCTCCCCTGGAGAAATGAAAACTAAACATACCTGGATAGTTGGATCTTTGAGAAGATGCTGAAGTACATACCTGGATAGTTGGATCTTTGAGAAGATGCTGAAGTACATACCTGGATAGTTGGATCCTTGAGAAGATGCTGAAGTGTTTCTGGATGAGAGGACTCAACGAAATATCGGTTATGCTTCAAAACCAATTTAACCTGGATATAAAAATAATAATAAACAAAATATAAATAACAAGATGATGTGCCCACCGTTGCTCCTGGAATTTTATAAATGAAAAAAAAGTCAAGACCATCTTTTGAACCTTTGTTACCACTAGGGTACCTATGCGTTCCCTCAAAAAAATTATGTTAATTTGGTTCAGCCGTTTGGCCAGCTATAGCTTACTTAAATAAATATATGAGCGAAGAGCTTTATTTTATAGACAGATAGATAAATTGTAACATATGATTGATTTAAAACCTTACTTTTCCGTATGAGGTTGTACACATTTTGATATAGTCAACTATTCCAGCTGGCAAACTCGTCTTACTGAACAATTGATAAATTTTACAATCAATCAATTAATTAAAAAATCAATCATCAGTCAATCAATTAATCAATAAATAAATCATCAGTCAATCAATCAATTAATCAATAAATCAAACATCAGTCAATCAATCAATCAATTAATCAATAAATCAATCATCAGTCAATCAATCAATTAATCAATAAATCAATCAATAATAAGTCAATCAATCAATCAATTAATCATTAAATCAATCATCAGTCAATCAATCAATCAATTAATCATGAAATCAATCATCAGTCAATCAATCAATCAATAAATCAATCATCAGTCAATCAATCTATCAATAAATCAATCATCAGTCAATCAATCAATCAATTAATCAAAAAATCAATCATCAGTCAATCAGTCAATCAATTAATCCAAAAGTAAAGAGACCAGAAGAAATCAGAAAAAAGCAAAAAAAGGAAAATAAAAAACTTCCAACAGCTACAAAAATAAAAATAAAAATTAGGAAATGGGCCAAGAAAGTTAAAAGATAGGATTTATATAAGTTTACCAGAAACGCTTAAAAATCAAATGAAAATAAGAGTCAAAATTCAACACAGTAAAAAGTGTAGAACAATAAATAACTTACCAGAGACGAGTCAAGTATTCAATGATATCATCAGTTTGTAATCCAACACTTACTAAAAACAATAATAATAAAAAACAATAAAAGCGTTATTATAAATTGTACTAAATGCGTAGTCATATGAACTGTACTAGCAGAATATGAATTGTACTTGTACCTGCTGCGGAGCATATGAATTGTACTTGTACCTACTGCGTACAGTATGAATTGTACTTGTACCTGCTGGGTAGAGTATGAATCGTGCTTATACCTGCTGCGTAGAGTATGAATTGTACTTGTACCTACTGCGTAGATTATGAGTTGTACTTGTACCTACTGCGTAGAGTATGAATTGTACTTGTACCTGCTGCGTAGATTATGAATTGTACTTGTACGTACTTCTTAGAGTATAAATTGTACTTGTACCTGCTGCGTAGAGTAAAATTGTACTTGTACCTGCTGCGTAGAGTATGAATTGTACCTACTATAAATTGTACTTGTACGTGCTGCATAGAGTAAAATTGTACTTGTACTTGCTACGTAGAGTATGAATGGTACTTTACATGCTGCGTAGAGTATGAATTGTACTTGTACCTATTGCGTAGAGTATAAATTGTACTTGTACCTGCTGCGAAGAGTATGAATTGTACTTGTACCTGCTGCGTAGAGTATGAATTGTACTTGTACCTGCTGCGTAGAGTGAGTATGAAGTAAGTTTGTATTCATGAATAAGTTCTGGACGACAAACTGGCTCCGAGATTGCGATCAGGAAATCATGAGCATGCTAAATAATTCATTATTATTCATTATAATACTAATCGAACAAATACATTCATTGTTTTATCCGAGTTCATTCTAAATACAAATTTCTTAAGAAGCTGAAAGGTATTTATTGAAAAAAAAGTTCTTTATATGTTGATCAATTAATATTTAACAAAAAGACAAAATTGTTAAAGCAATTTTGAAAAGAATTTTGATAATGATTAAATTTCTCAAATATTACCTTATATACAGGAGAGAAAGCCTCAAGGAAGATATGGCCATTAGGTCCAACCCACAGCGGTCTAAATATATCGATTTAGTTACTAAACAAACCCCTCAGTGGACTAAATATATATATTTAGTTAACTTATAAAAACCCACAGTGGTCTAAATATATATTTAGTTATTTGATACAACCCCACGGTGGGCTAAATAAATAATATATATATATTTAGTTTGTTGATAAAAACTCACAGTGGTCTAAATATATATTTAGTTATTTGATACAACCCTACACAGTGGGCAATAAATATATATTTAGTTAATGGATAAAAATTCACAACGGGGTAAATATTAAAATTTATGATTTTGTGAATTTGAAAATCCACTGTGCGGCGTGGTAAACTATATTGATAAATAGTTAACTAGCAAACCCCACAGAGAACTAAATATTTATATTTAATTAATCACTAAAAACCCACAGCGGGCTAAAATAAATTAATTTAGTTAATTAATAACACCCCGGTTTTGTTTCTTTCTTTCCGGCAATTTACGTACATATTTTTTAAGGTTGTGGGGTGCAAGCTGTAAATTTCATTTCAATGCAAACATTTTGTTGATTCCCCTCCGGAACAGT